GCACAGGGATGGGGACGGGACAGGGCCCGCAGCACCGCGCAGGAAGCTTTCGGCCATCTGGGGTGGGCGGCCGAGCCCCGGGCAGATCTGGGGAAGGGGCGATCCCGGGGGCAGTGAGGGGACCTGGGAAACGGCCGACACGGGGCTTCTGGGGCCAGGGGAGGTCGGGAGGTTCCACACTGGCTGTGGATTTACTACAGGGGACAGGACATTCATAACTGCATGGATTGGACAGCCAAAGCCTGAAGGACCCGACAGTGCTATCTGTAACAGCTGGAGGAGGAGGGGAGGAGACAGGGAAGGGACAGGACAGAGACTGGGGAGGGGCAGAGGAGGGAGGGGAAGGAAACAACATATGCATGAGAAAAGTGCCCCACAGCAAGAACGAGAAAGAGCGGCAAATACAGTTCAACACCTTTTCTGACTTCACCCAATAGCTGTGTTCAGTGTTTTGCTTTCATGACTGTGAGAACAGCCAGAGGTCAGTGGAACAGGATGAGGCCCTTGCAGTGACAGTGGTTCCCGGAGGGGACAATCACAGCTCCTCTGACGCAGGACTACCTGAACCCCTTTGGGCTGAGCCGAAGGACTTGTCCTGGGCGTTTGCTCCCCAGTGAGCAGGCGGAACAAGTGGCATGTCCTCCAGGGGCAAGGGAGACCTTGCACCCGCTGCCTGGGCGCTGCGCTGCTCTCCTCAGCTCTCCAAACTCCCTGTGCACAGGGAACCCCCGGCTGGGGCTGTCAGGAGGGAGCTAGAGGCCTCGTCCCAACCAGGTGACACGGCCACCTCCTCCTCGTCTCCCTGATCTCCAGGGCCCTCCCTATACCTGCGTTCAGAGTTCGATCCCTTTTCTGCAGGTGAGGAGGTTGGGAACGGGGAGAAACGGCCAGGAGCCATGCAGTGAGCGCAGAGACTCGGTCAGGCAGCTCCGGGCAGGGTTTGCTTGGCCAAAGAGGGGCCGGCGGGGGGAAAGCACGGCCGGGTTGCCCACAGCTGAAGGCTGAGCTGTTTCCGCAGAGGATCCAGCCCGGAGCTGAGGGACCCGTGACTGTCCCCTGGGGAAGGGCCAGCACCTCCCGGGGCCGTGTCCCGGCTGTGCCGCGGTGACCGACCCGCGACGCCGCAGGGGTGATGCGGAGGCGCAGGAGGACGCCTGCACACACTGACCGCTCGCCCTCTCACGCTTCTCCACACAGCAGGGTCTTGGCCCTCAGCTATGGGTTTCCTTGGGCTGTAACTGGACTGTGAGTCCTTCAGCCAATAGCACTCGCCTGCCTCTGCTCCCTCATGGAACTGGGAGAACTGGGAGCAGACCCAGACACACTTATACTGGCAGGGTCAGAGCATTACGGATGGGTGAGCTGCTTAAGCCTTAACTAAACGTTACATCTCTCATTGCAGCAAGCTGCTTACACCTTAAATAAACATTAGATCTGTCCTTGCAGCAAGCCTGTTCTGTGCTCCTCTGATCTTTGTAGGAAAAGGAAATTTCGGGCTGGCATCCACAGGAGATGCCCAGTCTCCTCGTGTGTTCCCCTCAGACTCCCCAAGCCAAGCTCTCCCCAACCTCGCGCCGGAGATCGCCAGCAGAACTGCACGCAGGTCCCTTGCCATGCGGCTGCTTTGCCTCTGCTGACAAAAAATCCTGAAATTTAAATGGGTCTCCTTATACTTCTCCCTACAAGCAGAAAAGCCTTTTTTCTGTGACCTCCCCCTCTAGCCTGATAAAGCCCTGACAGGAGCAGCCCTTACAGCTCTTCTCCTGCGCTTGGGTGATAAACCACTGCACAGGGACCTTCCCGGAGCTCGACTCACAAGGAGCGAACCCTTCAGGCTTTCACATTTCCCCCCTGCAGGCCACTCTGGCACCGATAGAGTCTTGGTGGGACCCAGAGCTCTTCTCCCGGAGGCCCCCACAACCCCTCACTGCTCTTCCCAAGTCTCGCTCTGGACAAGCATGAGGCAGAGTCACGGTTTGCTCTTCTACTCACTCGCGGGATGAGCGGATGAGCTGTGATTAGTAGATGTTAGTGACCAGATGAGGTGAAGCCAGTGGTGCTTGCTGTGACACGGACGCATGCGGAGACTTGCTACCTACAATGCCCCTGTCTCCTTGTAGGCAACGCACGGCAACGTCAAAGCCAGACCCTCCCCGGGCACCAGAGGCGGGAAGCGCTGAGCTGGTGTGGGATCGGGGTGTCACCTCGGGCCGAGGGGAGCCCTTCCCTGTGGTGGGTGTGCTCTCCATCGCTATGCTGCCACAGCAGCCCCTCGGAACTCCTGCTTTTCCAAACACCCAACCTCCATCCGTGTCTCTCTCAACAGTCTGTGCTTTCCCACTCCCTTGCTGGCTGCAGAGCTGTGTCTAACGTGGAAAAGCTGGGCTCAGGAGGGCCCATCCTCAGCCACCCTGCGGTGAACGCTAGGAAAATGCCATGGCAACCCAAAGGGGAGGCAGAGCATCCCCGGGCCCGCCTCGGAGCTGGGTGAGACCCTTGCAGCCCCCCCACCCCCAGGAAGGGCAGCCCCGGGAGCCAAGGACGCAGCCTTGAGCATCTCTAAGTCCAGCTGCCTCCACGGGGGAGCGGGACGGAGCCCTGCCAAGCCCTCATCACGGGGCTGCAGGTTTGCCTTCCTCTTCATGGCTGCGCCCAGCCCGTGGGGAAAAGTGGGGTGCTTGGGGGAGCGGGGGCCGTCCGCTGCGGGCAGGGCTGCGGGCAGGGCTGGGGGGCTGTCCTGTGGGATGTGGCTGAAGGACGCTGCCTTCGCTGCGGGCGGGGGCTGCTGCCAGGCCCCTGCCTGGACTGTGCCACCTCCCCTCTGGCCTCACTGCAGCACAAATAACTCCCCGAAACGGCCCAAACTCCCTCGAGGGGAGGCGCCAAGAAGCGCAGATCTCAGGTGGCCTCATCAATGCCAATCTCCAGCTTTTCATCAGCTCTCCATGGACAATCCCCTTGGCTGCGGAAAGCGAGCTCAGCTCCGCTTTGTGCCTGAGCTGAGACACCATGAAGAGACAAAAAGCCTACAAGGAAACAGGGGGTTGTATCTGCAGCGGCTGAAAGCTTGCACCAGAAATGTTACACCATTTAACTGAAACAGAATTAATTGATGAGTTTATATAGAAAGAGGTAGCTTTACCCTAGGAGCTAAATGCCTAAAGGGCTTATTTTTCTTCTCTCTCTCTTTCAGATCTGTAGAAATACAAAGCAGTTGTGGGTTTCCAGAACAGCACCTGAAAAACTCAGTTTTGCATCTAAAATTCTGCTCCACATGGTACATTTGGCATGTGCGGCTGTTGCTTAAAGATAAACAAACAAGCAGACAACCACCCACCCA